AGATGGAGCCCAAAGTCATGGACTAAATGACAAATGACAAACATTTTAGAGGGATGGCCCATAGACTAAGGGAATGATATCTGTGTGTATATATATCAAAAGACAGGAAAAGGGGTGGTGATTAATGGGAATGTATTGGAAAGTGGGGGACCTGGGCATGACGTAGATGGTATAGAATAAGGGGTGGATACCCAGCCGAAACCAGGACAGAGAGCATAAGGATCAATCACTTGAATGAGTCATGTGCTCCATTTCTATGCACTGATAGTTTGTTGAGCCTGAACCACAATAAAATAATGCAGTCTGCTGGTTCAGTTCCTTGCATGCTATAAGTTACAAATCCACACACAGAAAATTGTTGCTTGTAGTCAAGTCATTCAGAGAGGAAATACAAGATACAATGGACAAAATAAAGAAAGCAGTACAAGTGATAGAAGGTTCCCTGTTGCCCTATCACGTTTAGTATCCCTGCATATGTTCCTGAATGCAGATTAGGTGAGCAAAGTTTCTCCAATAGGAGTCAAAAATAAACACTAGGGACCCCCTAATACTTACAGTTCAAAATAATCCCATTGCTCCATAACTTCCTGAAGAATGGAGAGTTTAAGAAAAATGGAGGTTCTTTCTTTCTGGTTGGACATTTTTAAGTTATCTTTTGTAAGACCACATAAAATGATTTAGTTCTCAAAGAATAACTGAATTACATAAATAAAACATTACATAAAAGATGTCTCAGTGCAATTTATGTGAAGTGAATTTCACACAGACCGGTCTATTGTAGAAAATTCAACTTATCTCTTCCTGATCCTTTTATTCCATCTAACCACAGAAATTTATGTCAGTTCAAAAAAATCTATTACTGTTGCTCATAACTGAATCCATTATTTTCCCTCCATGATCCATCAGGTAAAAACAAGTGCAATAGATAGCTCTAGCAGAACCTTGAACATAAAAGGCCTCAAGAATAGAGTGAGATAAGTTAAATCCATCTCGCTGTGCACTATAACTGGAAATGATAACCTTGATGTTTAATTTAAATCAAGTCATAGCAAAGACTTCTGAGTATAATTGTTATCTGTCATATAAATAAAATTATTATAAATTGAATTGGACTTGGAAAGGTATAGTTTTGCCTGTTGCATTGCCTGTAAGCAAATTGAACTCTGTGAAGGTTTATCACCCTTTGCCGCCTTCTTCCTCCAGTCTTTCTCAGTAATGGATCCATTTGACTGCAAAAATATGGAGGGAAAGAGCTGAGAACAAATGATTACTTTTCCACATTACTTTTTATTTCCAGAGCTTTGCTGATTCCATTGCATTGCTGATTTTTCTCTCCTTTGTTCCCCTGCCAGTCCAGGGAAAAAGAGACCCAAATTTAAAGCTCAAATGAGAGTAGCAGCATTTCACTGGTATAACAGCAGTTTAGGGACAGGCAAAATAAGGAAGTGCAAGTGCATGGATTTAAGCCAGAAAGAGGAACCACTGGATCTCATAGCAGCACGTGTGGTTTTCAAGCTTGGTCTCAGCTGGATTGTTGATAGTGGCAAAGGGGCTCTACCAGGCACCAGACTTTCTCAGAGCAACTCGGTGCGAGAGAAAGATGAATGTCCTGGCCCCATCGCCTTCCTGCCTTTCTTTGCTTTCCATTTCTGCTAAGAAAAGAGGGCACGCTGGTCGCAGGACACACACCAATGGGGTGGAGATGGTGTTCAGGCATGGAAGGCAAAGGCTGACTGCACCTCTTCACCTACAGTATATCACCTTGGGGAGGCCAAATACGCACATGCTGCCTCAAAGATGAAGACAAATAAACTAATTTATTTGATGCAGTGCCTGTAATGAGACACACCAAAGTGAATCTACCTCCTGCTTTCAGCCAGTGCTGCTGCTTGTCTCCCACCCTGGGCCAGCACATACTAGAGGCAGCTGGCAGATCCAAACCGTTAACTAGCTGCGGCTGTGCAAGCATGCAAAGAGAAAGCACAAGAGGTAAAATGGCAGGATGCAGCCGCAGGGGAACACTCCTGCCGGCAGCAGCCCAGCATGCCAAGTCGCATCACCTGGAGGCCATCACATGCAGGTGCCCGCTCCTCACACATCTCAGCAGGGTGCAGCTTACTGGCAGCTTCTGCTCCTTTCAGCTAAAGGTGGTTCATCAGGCCACACTTGGTAGAGGGAGCTTGAAACAGCTAATTTCAGTTTACAACATGTGGGTTATCACACACACCCCTCAGCATAGAGTCTCATCTCTCCTGGAAACCTTTACAGCAGCAAACAGAAAGAAGCCCATCAGGGGTGCTTCAGAAGAGAAATGCAATTTTGGTGCACCGATTCGCCATCTCAAGGAGCTTCTCTCTCTCCTTTGACTACAGGAAAAATTAAGGAGACAAGGCATCCAACTTAGCTGGATGAACAGACCTTCTAGTCCTTATATGCTGGTTTAGGAAGATATTTATTTTACAGGTGTGCTTTCTTCAGAATTACTGGTGTCACTTCAGTGGAGTCCTACAAGATCCTGCTGACTTCCACCCGAGGGCAGAGGCTAGCACAGAGCAGCTTGGAACAGTTGGTATAATCTGGAATTCTGAAAACTTTAAGGAGCTTCTCTCTCTCCTTTGACTACAGGAAAAATTAAGGAGACAAGGCATCCAACTTAGACAGACCTACAGACCTTCTAGTCCTTATATGCTGGTTTAGGAAGATATCAGGTGTGCTTTCTTCAGAATTACTGGCGTCACTTCAGTGGAGTCCTACAAGATCCTGCTGACTTACCCGAGGGCGCAGAGGCTAGCACAGAGCAGCTTGGAACAGTTGGTATAATCTGGAATTCTGAAAACTTTGCTATTTCCCTGCTGTCGATTTTTTTTTTTGCCTGGCAACTCATCTTTGGGGAAAAAAAAAAAAGGCCTAGACCCTTGTGAACTGCACATATCTGTGCTTTTTAAGATTGTATTTCTTTTATCAAAACTTTTTTTGAGTTGGGCAAACTCAACTTTTATTCGCAACATTCTTAATGTTTTCCGTTTGAAAAATAATCTTAGAAATAGTGCTTGAACATCAAAGTTGCAAGTTTGACGCAGAGATCTTTCCAAATAACAGCATTCCTATTCTTATTACATAAACCTACTCTGTGGGTTTTGCTAACTGCGTACTTTAACAGTGTAAAACACAGCTCCTAGCCAGACGAGAGACACATGGATTGACGGAGGTTTGATAATCATAAATAACATCTTGTTGGGGCCGTGAGCCAGTAGCTAGCATAAGTCTCAAAACAAACAGGGATGGTACTACAGCACAAGACTTTGCCTGGGAGTCTCCCTGTTCCTTCCATGACAATTCTTATCAGGATGGGTTTGGCAAAGCCATTTAACCTCTTCTTCTGTCAGAATGGATGATTACTTTCCAAAATCTCATGGATGCTATGACAGCTAATTAATTATCGCTGGATTGTGCTTTACAAACGTAATTAGTATAAAGAAGGTTAGTAGGGAGAAACACTGCACAGAAAATGAAGGTGAACAGAGACAGAACGCTAGAAAGACTCTAAGTGCAGTAAGATAGAAAAACAATAAATAAGGAAAGGAGTTTTGAATAGTGAGTACATAAGAGATTTCTATGAAAGAAAAAAAAGTGTGCTGCCTTTCAAAAGTAGAGGAGGGGAAAAGGAAATTAAAAATTAGAAGCAAGGCACTGAGATGAATGGATTTGAAGTATAAAGAGAAGAAAAGAAAATGAAAAAGATGTAATAAAAGCTGCCCAGCCTTTAAAGTAATGAATCTTTTCATTTATTTTTACCCTTTTTTGACATTAGAGGAAAATGGTAGCACACTTATACTGAGCTCACACTGTTAACACAGTACAGGTCTTAATTCTTGGATTATGTTGTTAAATAATTAACTGATGAATCATAAGTAAATAATTGAAAATTGGTTCTCTAAGCCTCACAATTGAGAACATAAAACTGCCACAGTGATATCAGATTTTAGCAGAACCGATATTGTAGTTAATTAGAAAAACTGGAAAAAAATTCTAAAATCTGTAGCTGTAAAGACTGCTAGCAGAAACACCTGGGCTCCATTCCCCCATGGAACAAAACAAAATGGATCATCTATTATTTAAATCTCCTATATTAAAGTTACATCTGGAGAAGATGGAAGCATGGATTGCCAGTTCCTCTGCAAAGTACCTAGACCTGCCCCAGGCCTTGTCCTGTTGGAGAGGGTCTGTGATTTGGGCAGCAGGATAGGAGCGGGGGGTCACTCTAAAAGGCTAAGGCAGTCTTGATTTCATGTTAAAATATCTTTTCCTCCAATATTACTAAAATGAAGTACTATAAAACAAATCCTTACACTTCAATGGGCAATAACTCATTGGTTCCGTGGCACTATTTGACAAAATTAAGAACAAACAGCTTCAAAAATCTAATAATAGTTGTGTTTATTTTTGTAAAAGAGGAACGGTAGACAAACTAAAAAAAATCACTCTTTGCATCTCAAAAACAAAATAATTCCTTTTCTCCCATGAACATCTCTTTTATTTTCTGATATGGCAAAAGCACATGTACTTCAAGTCTAAGCAAGGCAATTAATTTGGATTCTGCCATGATCACAGTCATGGGATTTTTT